AAGTCAGACACTTGTCCCAAGATCTCTCTATCTTCCTGAGAGGAGGGGAAAAAAATTTTACCAAGCTCCAATTAGATCTAAATTTGCATTATTCCAGCACATATTGTCATGATGCTTTACTTCTGAGAGTTCTACTGTATCATCTTATACTATCAATGTGACTTTGGCTTCAAAAGAAATAATAGTGAGGACAGAATAATCACTAGAACATATTAAAAATTATTTTTTTAAAAAAACCATATTGGCTAGGTAAATAATGAGTAAATATGTTGCTTCTCTTTTTTTCAATATAAGAAAAAAAAAGGGGGGGTTATCAGGATAACGAATCATTTAAAGCCCCTGGTTATTATTTTCTACTCTGGTGTCTTATAGTCATTTTACCATGGGCTTTTATGTGCATGAATAAACAAAAAGAGTCAGACAACACATATTTATCTGGATCTTTTCTATTAAATTGGTTTCCCACAATTTGGAGGTAAATCAGTTTTATATTGTGGCTCCTTTTCATATGTCTTGATGATCAGGAGAAAATTGATAAGACTCAAAAAAGCAGTAGTAAAAAATTGATTACTTCCCTGTGTAAGAAGTGTTACAAAAATATACTGAAATATGAAAGCTCTTAATTCCAAAAGAACGACTCTACCAAAGGCAAAAACTAAGAAAAACTAAATCCAGCTACAAACTAAAGTATCTTGATAATCTACTAAATTCATTCATTCTTTCATTAAGACAAAATGCCACCTTGCCCTCCATTTTTCATTCCTAGAAAGTCAGCACTTTCATATTCAGCACCTGCACAAATTTAGAAGTGTTTCTCTTATACATTGTAACCAAAATAAATATAGTATGACTTCATAGTTCCCATATTCACTACTGTTTGTGCTGCAATCAATAGAGGTAAGGTTATTTCATGAAAAGGACAGATGAAATAATAAATATACAATGCTAGTGCCCATTAATTTAACTCATATAAACACAAAATTCTACATAGTACAACTTTTAAAGCAACGTTTGAAAATATTAGAGTAAGGTAATTTTTAAAATATATATATATAATTAAAACTAAATTAGGAAAACTAAATTAGCCTGACTAACACTCAATAACATTCAACTTCACTAGAAAAATTTCTACTGTCTAATTTAGTTTCTCTGTGAAGCTAGAGCTAAAAAGAGGTTCGTCAAATGTTTTATTTACTGGCCAATTTCTAGCCTGTCTGTACTCAGCCTTCACAGTAGCAAGCTGATGCTAATAAGCCATACATAAAGATCCCACTTATTAAAATACAAATTAGGCACCCCTTATGTTTATACATGTGTAAGTACAATTAATATTGCAGGCTTAGTTGGAAACAAAATTGCTTTAGTTAACCAACCATTGCAATGCAATCAAATGAGATTTCAGAAGCAACTGGAAAAGATGTGTTCAGCAGAAATAAAAGCAATTATTTAATGCGGAACAATTAATTTTCCAAGCTCCTTTTTCCTTCTCCCACCTGCCCTTAATAAAATAATTTGCCCAATCATACATGACATAAAAAACCCCCTTTAATGCCAGTAAGTTATATGCAGACCTGAAAGGCAGCTGGTAGACACAGCTTATTTACAAATATTGGTTTGAACTTGTAAATGCATGACCACATAAATCTTAATCCATTTAGAGTATACGCCTTTTGTTCCCTCAATTGTACATCCAACTGGGAATTGAGTGGAGCTGAGGGAGAGCGTGAATTACAGGAGCCCTTTCTTGTTGCCAGCATTTTAGTGCTTTGCCTTTTGTTCTTGTTGTTCCTGAGATTTCTCTACAGTACAGACAACAGAATGTTAATCAACATTTTGCCTAAGTAATGCTAATGAAACCACCCTACTTATACTGGAGGGAAGAATTGGCATATAATATTTCTTTTTGAAATGTTAATGTACCTTTTAGTAAATTATTTCTGCCTTCTAAATCATCCTAGTGTTAAATTATTAAAGGATGGCATTAGAGAAGTATTGCCCTGATGCAAATAGTTAAATCTCTTAAAAGATAAAAGGCTTATAAAGTTTAAAAAAGGATCTTCTGGAGTATGGAAGCATTTAACTTCAAATTAAACATTTTTAAATGTTTGGTTAAGAAATTGATAAAATTTGCAGTTGTTTTGTCTGTGCTCACAAAATAAAGGGAGATTCAATGTTGATTTCTAACTTCCAACCACTCATGAAAGTGAACTTGATTTTTTTCACAGTTTTGAAGGATTTGTTTAACCTTACTTTATGTAAATGAATTGTCGCATCATCTATTGTACCAGAGAAGAAAACAAACAAAAAGGAAGAAAAGGATCTCTTATGTTTGCAATATTCACTTATTTGAATCCAAAGGCAATCTTTATTCAGGTTCTATTCTTCAAATATAAGATCACTATTGCCTCAACAATCCCTCACCTGTGTTATTTCAAAGGGAAGGGCTACTGTAAAGACTTCATGGAAAATATCAATTCTCAACAGGCAAATTGTGACAGATGTGTACTGTGAACACCATTTATAGTTCATCAAGAAGGGTACTCAGGAAATGAGTTGACAGTGCTCTAAAGTGTCCTAATTTGTTTTCCCTTTAATGGTCTCTTTTAATGCCAATCAATGTTCGTAGATCTTGAATAAATTGTGAAGTAACTTAGGGGGAAATTTAGAACTGAATTTGTTCAAAATTCTCCCACACAGTGATGACTATTTGCTAAGAACTCCTAACATCTACTGGGCAAATCATTTATTTTCTATTTAACTACAGAAGATCTAGCAATGGCATTATTGTCATTGTGGAACTGATTTGTTCTCTTGCATGACTTTTCCTAGCCATACTCCTGTATGGATACAGGCACTGAAAGAGTAGATTTTAAAAAGCTATATTTCAAGGTAAATTTTTACACATTTGGTATCTAAAAAGTATAAATATTGCTTAAAATTGTTCATGTATCATAATTTGATTGTCTTCTTTTTTTTTCCTTCTCAGCTATACATAAATGGTAAAGTGCAATACAATAGATGATGGTTTAGAGTAAATAAAAGAGTAATGGCTAGCACACATTTAAGAGTTTTCATGTCATCTATTAAGAGTTTTCATGTCATCTACAATAGTCACCCATTATTTCTATAAGGAAAAATAAATCATTGCCATAATGTTAACTTAGTGTTAATGAGTCAACATATCTTGGAAAAGAAACTTTATATACTACATTCCTACTTGTAAAGTTATTTTTATACAGCATTTCTTCCTAGAAAATTTGAAAAGACACATCACTAATAAATGACTCAAATATTACCAAATTCCTTTACTGCAAGAGAAGCTTTTGAGAAGACCAGTCTAATCTATATACTGTGCAATTGGATTTGAATGAACTTAAAATTTTTAGATTCTCAGAATTACTCATGATTAAAACTAAAACAGCACCAACTTACTAAATCAAAACTAGGCAGACTACAAGGTCTAACTTCACAACTATTATGCTTTTACTATGCCACTTCTAAGAGAGTAGGAGAAATAAATTGCATTAATTATCAGTTCCTCTAAAGAATATTTGGCTATTTTTGGCTTATACACCAAACAAATGCAAGTTTACTTTCCTTTTATGTAACAGCAACAAACTGCATTGTAAAATCTTCACTGGATGAGTTTAAAATTTCTCCTCTATATTGAAAAAGATTGTGTTTTAACTTAGTCACTGATTTTTTTCTTTATGTATATTTAATGGATACCAAATTGACCTATGCACCTATAATAAACAATTGTGGATTAAGCCAGTATCTACATGATACCAATAAATCAAGCAATAAGATCAATCCAAATTAAAGAATTGAACTGACAGTAATCAGAGTCTCAACTGAATAGACTGGGAATTTCCTTAAGAAATATAAATTGGTATAAAAGAGAGTAAAAGTAAATAATATCAGAGTTAATAAACATGAAAGACTATTTAACTATTACCCTATAAGCAAATGAAGTACCATTTACTACATTTTCCTTTGATATACAGTATAATCACAGAAACACAAAGTAAAAGTGCTAATTTCTAAACCTGAAATCTCAATTCCTAAACACTAAACAAGTTTAGCGCTATATTGAAGCACAACTTTCGTACCTTGAAATTTGAGATTTTTGTTTTTCAAGACATTCAAAGACAATTGAACAGTATAGTCAAGCTGTCATTCTTACTTTAATCATATTAGAGTAAGATACTTTAAATGTGGGGAGGACACAGTTAATATTCCCCAAATGAGTTGTCTGGAACTGTTCTTTAATCAGAAACTAAAGAGATATTCACTATAAATGAAACAACTCAAATATGTAACAGAAGTCTTTTAACTATTAAGGTCAGAGTTCGTCAAGGACATAAGAAGATAAGACATAGCTAGAGATGGGAGGAAGGGAGGGAAGAAGGGAGAGAGAGAAGGAAGAAAGGAAAGTGGGAAGGAGGAAGGGTGGGAGAGAGGGAGGCAAAAAAGGAAGGGAATTCCTCACAAGAATTTCTGAGATTTGTATAATTCACCCCAATGACTCTTGAAGCACAAAACTAGTTTATCAAAAAAACTCAGACAAAAGTTAGTATCATCTGATATTTGTAAAAGCAAGCCAGAGCAGACAAACAATAAGGTCTAGCTAATGTGGAACAAATTAAAGAAATCTTAATACATTTATTCTAACTTCAATTGTATTGCCCACCAAAGTGATTACATTATACATGTCACTTCTTAGAAAATGCCACTTGCTTTTCAAGTACTACATTTTCATAATACATACAAAGATTATACAAATAGTACAGTTTAATGTTATTTTTCTGTTATTAATTTTATAAATACCTTGGAGTATCAGAGAATATTTGAAGGTACTTTTTTAAATGAAGTATAGAGAACTGTTTTTTTGTCCCAAAGTCCATCACTAAAAACATATTTTAAATGCAACCTTTTAGTTACCCAAACACAAGACATGGATGTACATATTAATTCAAGTAGTTAAAAAGGGTGCTTACTGCAAAATCCTCTCTCCACTGGTGGGCTGCTTGAACTTTCTCTGCTTCCAAAGCTAGACGCTGCAAAGGAAACAAGATTCTTAGAATTCAAATGACCACATGATTATATAATTGTTATATAATGCTTGGGTTTTCAAATCGATTATTAAGACATAAAAGAGATGTTCCTTATTTGTGATTCATAAATTGTAAATTATTTAATAACCTAATTTACTAAAGTTGATATATATGTATTTACTCTTCAGTAATGTAAATAGCATAGTACTCTTGAATACCTTTAAGTTCACTACCTCTGCCTCTGCAGTAGTGTGGCGCTAACAATCAATGCTATCTATTAACGCCTAACAATTATTTAAGAGAAAAGTTTTGATCACTAGAGTATATTAATCTTGGTAAAATCTTGCTTTTAATGAATATCTTTATAACATATATTGGAAAGAAATGACATTAGGAAATCAATAAATATGGGCTAAATTTTGTACACGCACCTTCTTAACAGCATTTTGGGCTTTTTTTTTTTAACCAAAAAAGATAAAATTGTAATAATTTTCTCCTTGCTAAAATACACTCTTGAGAGTTTATTCAGATACCTGTGAGGAGCAAACTATCAATCCACACACTCAAAAATGGCTTCATTTCCCCTTCATTCTTGTACTCCAGAGTCATTAGAGAATTCTAGCCTGACTTATTTACCTTTAGCACTTTTAAAAGGTTATTTCATTAGGTTTAGTTGGAGATGAAATACCTATTGTCAGCCTGCTAATGATTTTTTGCAGATAATTTTTTTTCCTTCTCTAATAGTTTTTATATTTTCTCTTTGTATTTCCCACTGATGCTATCATGTTCTCCACTGGGTTAGTTTCACAAAAGACAGTAACACTTAGTGATTAAGAACAGATTAATAAAAATAAATGGGGAAAAAAAAAAAAGAACAGATTCAACCAACTGGACGGCTTGGTTTTAAATACTAACCCTGCTGCACACTAGCTGTGCAAACTTGGGAAAAGTTAAGTTTCCCCTCCTATCTTCTAATGGGAATAGTGTCAAAATCTACCTCAGTGATTGCTGAAAGAATTAAATACTATACTATATAAACTGCTTAGTGGATTTTTTACCAACCGAGCTATCAGGAAAACCACTGAATCACTTTAAAGGGAAAATTCCCCAGTGTGCTTAAATGTCAGTGGTTCTGGTTTATCAACTACTAGGCAGCCATGTAACTCAAGAGAATCTAACGAGTGTTAGAAATTGTACCAGCGAGAGTAACCCAAAAAGGTTCTTTTTACCTAACAAAGCCAAAATCCTGAACAGAGCAAAATCATGGGAAAAGTGCATTCATTTCAGTCACACCGCATCACATTTAGAAACTCACATACAGTATAAAAATGTTGCTAAAAAATGAATAAATTGGTAAAAGAAATGGAATTGAGAGCACTTTCTAAGAAAACTTTATTTGGAAAGATAGAAAAAAGAAATGACAGAATAAGGGGAAAAAAATGCATATACTTTAGAAAATTCAGAATGTATGTCTTCCCCCATTTTTAACAATCCATATAAGAACTAAATTACTCATACAAATGGGGCCAATAATAAACTTAAGTTTTTTGTGAATTTAAACAAAATACTGGATAGAATATAAATAAGTTATGTAATTTTTAGGTTAAGATATATTAGAATTCTAATATTTCTTGAAGAGGGATATTAAGATTTCTCCTTGCAAGACACGCAGAAGGAGGCTGCCAATCCAACAAAACACATTGGGGGACTTTCACCCACAGGGCCATATACAGTTTTCAAGGCACCGGGTCTCACTTAATCATGCTGGTCTGTACTCTGATCTAATTCAGAATCACATGGTTCATAATGTGAACTTAATCCACGTTTAATAAGCCACAGTGATAGTAATCATCAGCTAATTATTTCTAGAAAAAAACTAAATAGGGATGAACAACAGTCACAAACTATAAGACGATTCTCTTTAGAAGGTGGAGTCCAAATAATCTTTCTTATACATATATATATATGAGGATTTTATATATATAATATATATACACTAATTTTATGAAGTAAATGCCATTTATTGCAAGATTATGAAATAGCTTTAGAAGCCTAAAGACCTGTATTTTTCTAGAAGCAAAAAAGTATTTTAAAATGTTAGTTGGGAGCTGAAAATTTGCTGAATTTTATATCCCCAGCTTGGAAAACAAGAGATACATATTATGAAAATGCATTACTATTATCTTCTTTTTTCACAAAGAAATTAATAAAATGATTTTTTTACCTAGCATTTTACATGAGAAAGCAAAATACAGAACTTTAGCTACTTAGCCTGTCTTGGGAATCGAAACAAATAGTTGCTGATGGTGCCCTTTCTTGTGGCAAAAAACCAGCTAGCCATGACTCAGAGAAAACAGATATGTCTTCTGGACACTGCAAGTCCCTAATGAGCTTTCATTCTGGTAAAGTGACATTTTATATTTTAGAGCCAATGATCTACCATTAAATGCCATGGGAAAATTGTGTTAAGACTGGTAAAATTCCTACCTAAAAAAATGTGAATGTTTGCTCAGTAGGAAATCTCTGTTTTCATAGTTGGCTATATATATAGACCCTGTAACAATAACTTGTTCAATCAAAGATCAAGTTGCCAATATCCGCTGGATTATCAAAAAAGCAAGAGAGTTCCAGAAATACATCTACTTCTACTTTATTGACTATGCCAAGGCTTTTGACTGTGTGGATCACAGTAAACAGTGGAATATTCTGCAAGAGATGGGAATACAAGACCACCTGACCTGCCTCCTGAGAAATCTGTATTCAGGTCAAGAAGCTACAGTTAGAACTGGACACTGAACAACAGACTGGGAAAGGAGTACTTCAAAGCTGTATATTGTCACCCTGCTTATTTAATGTATATGCAGAGTACATCATGAGAAATGCTAGAATTAAACTAGAATCAAGATTGCCAGGAGAAATATCAATAACCTCAGATAGGCAGATTACACCACCCTTATGGCAGAAAGTGAAGAAGAACTAAAGAACCTCTTGATCAAACTGAAAGAAGAGAGTGAAAACATTGGCTTAAAACTCAACATTCAGAAAGCTAAGATCATGGCATCTGATGGTCCCATCACTTCATGGCAAGAAGATAGAGAAACAATGGAAACATGACAGACTTTATTTTTCTGGGCTCTAAAATCACTGCAGATGGTGACTGAAGCCATGAAATTAAAAGCCACTTGCTCCTTGGAAGGAAAGTTATAACCAATTTAGACAGCATATTAAAAAGCAGAGACATTATTTGCCAACAAAGGTCCATCTACTCAAGGCTATGGTTTTTAAAGTAGTCATGTATGGATGTGAGAGTTGGACTATAAAGAAAGTTGAGCGCAGAATAATTGATGCTTTTGAACTGTGGCATTGGAGAAGACACTTGAGAGTCCCTTGGATGGCAAGGAGATCCAATCAGTCCATCCTAAAGGAAATCAGTCCTGAATATTCATTGGAAGGACTGATGCTGAAGCTGAATCTCCAATACTTTGGCCACCTGAATGCGAAGAACTGACTCATTGGAAAAGACCCTGATGCTGGGAATTAATGAAGGCGGGAGGAGAAGGGGATGACAGATGATATGATTGGATGGCATCACTGACTCAATGGACATGAGTATGAGTAAGCTCCAGGAGTTGGTGATGGACAACTCCTGGCGTACTGCACTCCATTGGGTCGCAAAGTCAGACATGACTGAGTGATTGAACTGAACTGAACAGTAACTTACTTCAGAAAAATTCTCATTTAATTTACAATACAATTTAGTACAGTATCAAACACTAAAACCAGATGAAGCACCAGATAGAAGCAAACAACCAAGATCGGCATAATTACCTACAAGAAAAAAACTGAAGATTCTGTCATATTAAGATAAGCCAGAAAATTTCATTAAATGGCTTTATTATAAGTAAAATAGCACATATGGATTTAAAAGTCCTTTGAGTATGGAATGATAAGTATATATACAATGTCACTAAAGTAGTAATAATATATACATCCCTACCTACCTATTGGTTTGAGCATGTAAAATAAAAAATCATTTTAAAGATATATTTTAAGAACAAGTTTAATAAAATGGACTTGAACCTAAGCCTTCCAACTCCAAAGTTTACTCTTCTTCCACAAGACCAATCTTTAGTTCCCACTAAACCTATCAAGTGTTAATATCACTTGGCATTCATAGAATATATGAAGACATAGTAGAATCAAAATTTAAAAAAAAAAAAACCCCAGGCAGAAAACTATTTAAGGTCAAGGAAAAACCCCCAGTGCTTTTTAGAATTTGCTAAAGCCTACAAGAAAAACAGCACAAAATGTCATATGTCAGTTTGGATACTATCTTTTACTTTGGTCTTGCCCTCAAATCCATAGAGAACGTTGCTAATCAGGGAAAGAGCTTTTGATATGCAGTGATATGCAAGGAAAAAAAGAAAAGAAAGAAACAGATAATGGGAGAGGTTTTATCAGATCAGAGAAAGATCAGCTCCCTTGAAGGTCTATTCATTCTCAACCTTCACCTTTTTGTCATATCTTTATCTTTTCCACTAGCATTGCATTCTATCAAGTGATGCGCAAGTTTAATAAAAGCAGTATGATTATACAGTGTAAGAAGAAAGAATTCTCTCATTGTCCTTAAAAATATCTAAAGATATTTTTTCTTGGGAATATTTTCCAAACCTGTAAAAACTTTACTTCCTAGACTAAATGCTAATTGCATATGAAAGATAAAGTTCTCTGAAACATTTAATTACAAAGAATTTTCCTTTGTTAGCTTTGAAAGGAAATCTTCAGGGATCATATAGTATTTCTGTTAGAATCCAATAATGTTGATACTCAATGTTAATAATATCAAGAACTGAAATAGCATTCAAAGAAATAACTAATTCAAAACTATTTCTTTGGTTAGTGTATCTCAAGATTTTTCCTTCTAATAAGGAAATATTAGTTCTTTACAATAGTGAGATAAAAAATGTGAGTGTAATATAATCAATGTTCAAATGGTCAACAAC